TAATGCACTTGAAATTAAAAAAGAACCTGGATTTTCCAGTTTGGGTGGCAAATTATTGGAGAGACAGTGCTTCTGTTGCTGCTCTTGGAGTCTTTGAGGAGAAGGGATATGTCTTGCCTTTGATATAGGTTGATGAGCTTCAATATTGTGCATAGGCTTGTCTAATTCATTTGATTTCAATGCTGCCCTTAATGGTTCAGCAGTAGTTTCCTCCTCATCATCTAAAGTTGTAAGGCTTTGGTGCAATTGGTGTTAATTTATAAGGCTTTGCACGTCTATGTACTCATTTGAACATTATGTAGGTCTAAAGCAAGTGATCTAATTAAAATGTTAAAGCTCTAAATTATGACTAGTCTGTATAAAACCTTTTTTACACAGGAAATGGATGTTTTGCTAGCTGAGTTTCACAGGGCCTGCCTATACACCGTCCCAAAGCACATGGTTTACACAAAGGTAACTTGATATAACCTGAGAACATTACAAAGCCATTGATTTTTTTTTTTTTGTAGTTTCCTAGCCTCATGTTAAATAGATTGTGTTATAGTTGATTGTGTTATAGTTGAAGGAAGAAACACTTTTGCTACCTAAAATTTCTGGATGTAGGATAATTATTTATTCTGATAATATATGATCATACTGTCAAATCAGAGATTGTGAGTTCATGCTAATTGTGTTTTCTACATTTGGAAATAGCTTACCAGTTCTTATTGTATTTTTATTTTTTGGTTGTGAAGCTCCACTATGACCATCTACAACCTTGAATTATAAGGCAGCTACACGCTTCATAGAACACTTTGTGCCTGACCTCACTCCAGATGGGTAATGAAATATTTTATTCCTTTAGTGGGTCATCTCTGTCTCTTCCATTTTGATCTCATATATGTAAACTAGTGGTTATTTCATGTAGGGCAGAGGCAAAGTATAAGAAAAACTAGAGGAGAGACCAAAGATGGACCATCCTGGGAGCTTTTTGGTAATAATAATAGCAGTATTAAGGGACCAGTACAAATTGACAATTCAGAGGATGATGGAGATGAACCACTTGTGCTTTTATTTGTAATTTTATCGTATCTTGGTATTGTTTCACTGGTAGAGATAACTTAATTTCATTATGACCATTGTGCTTGCTCTTCGGCCTCATTTGAGATTGTAAATTAACAAGTATTATACTGGTAGAGATAACTTTTGAAAGTGCACGAAGTTTCTCCAAAACTATCCTTGTTTCACTTTTGTGGAATAAGGCTAGTTCTTGCTTTTTTTAACGCATTGTTCGACTAACATCAAAGGTACATATAAATTTGATTAACTTAACACACAAGAATTAATTTCCTGTCCTCTGTAAAGTCTCGTTCATATGAAGTGCAAATATATTTCAATCTCTAACTTTTTTTTGAAGTTATTTTTTTAAAGGAATTTATTTTTGCAAAACACATTTTGCATTTGAATATAATGTTTAAGAAGTACTTATACTATAAAGTAACATTGACAATTACCTTTTTTTCATTTATTTAAGAATCCAATTACATCTATACCATCGTAAAGTGATTTAATAAAGATGTTAAAAGACAAATTCGGTTCTGGTAACAAAAATTTGTATATGGTGAAACTAACATTTTATTTAAATAAATAATATGTAACAAAATGGAAATGGTCAGCACAATTAACATCTACGAGCATCTTAAAACAGCCATCAACACACAGTTAACAAATGACTGCTCTAGGGACAATTCCTGGTATCTTGGTAATAATAATACAGCTGATGTTGTATCTTGGTATCAATGTTACAAATGATTAAAGGGTTTCACAGAAAAAAAAAAATCAACTCTTGTCTCATTGGAACTATGAAGACAGTGACTGCTGCAAAGAAAAAAAAAATCAAAGTGTAGTTTGTAAAGCTCCATTTGAAGTATTTGACAAGTGAATGGAATGTTTACTTTCATTGTTTGTTAAATACATATGACTTTTAGGGAGAAAAAAAAATTACTTTCACTGAAATAAAGTGTTATTTGTCTTTATTTACAATGAAAGTAATTGCTTTGACACAATGCCAATATGAGTCAACAATTGAGTTTACTCCATTTGAGCAAGCTCCACAACTAGTTCTTTTCGAGCCACCCCTTTGAAAACACACAGCAACAAAAGCACAGCAAGTCAGAGAGGTATCTCAAGAAGTAAAACAAAACAAAAAAGACTAGTAAGATTGCCATAAAAAACGTGTCATGATTATTAAAGATCTCATCCATGCTATCAGGAAAGATACAAAAAAACTAACACGTCAGAAATTTGAACATTCCAATTAACATTGCCTCAATAATATCCAAATTTTAATTACAAACAGAATACGCTATATTTTATCTGGTACTGTCTAACTATTTCGAGACGGTATTTTATTTACATTGATCTCGTATCATCGTTATGCATTTCAGAATGACAACAAGTATAAAAGTCAGCTGAAAATTTTATTTTCAAACAACAGAAATATAATTGATAGGCATTCCTTTTTTTATTGTGTTTTTATTTTCAAACAAACATAACTAGAAGATTTAGTAATGAGTAGTGAATAGTGACTTAAACTCGAGAAATTTTTTGAATCTACCTTATTGATTATTGCTGTTCATACCTAAATCTTTTAGAACCACCTTCGAAGAAACAGATTTAGGGGTAGGTGAGTTTTATTACGTTCGGCGGGGCATTAACAAGACCAATTTCTCAGAAATTCATTTGGCCCATTTAACTAAAGTTGGCAAATAACCATTTCAAACGAAAGTTGTAGTCTTAGTATATGAGTTCTTATGTTGTACACTAGGAGTGGAAAATAGAACAAATATTTGGTACATTGTTCGTATAGAAAATTCTCTGTAACAGAATGGGATTAAAAAAATTCTAAGTACCGGTCGTGGAGCATAGGCGCACTAGAAAATGGTGGAAGGAGCATTGAACGCCCAAAAAGGAAGAGGGGAAGGGCTACCAGCGATGAAGGAGAACAACCACGAACGCTAAGGAGAAGAACTATGAGGGAAAACGATTCTGGGGAAGAGCAACCACTGACGAAGGAGAAGAACGCAAGTAGCAAAGGAGAAGAGGGAAAACGATAGTAGTTGTTCTGTCGCTGAAGACGTTGAATTCCAGAAAATAAAGTTTTTTATTTTTTTATTTTTTTTATTTTTTAGACCAAAACGATTGACAGCATATGAGAGAAGTGGGAAAGAAGAAGATGCCTCTTCTCTATGTGTGAGAGGGGTATTTAGAGAGGAGAGTTTCTGTTGTATGGGGGCTTGAGCTGGTCAGCCCATGAGCTGTCTCATCAGCTGCCCACTGTGTCAGTGTACTCAGGGGTAGCAGTGCAGGATGAGGAAAGCTCCAGTGGTGAGCCTCTATGGCTTGCCATGGGTACCCTCTGGAAGGTTCTAGATATGGGCTTTAAGTGAGTGGGCCCATCTAGTGGGCCTAAGTAAGTAGTATCGTGAACAAAAACTAAATTATCTCTTAAGATTTGAGAGACCTATTTTATCTAACAAACAAAAATGTAATTATTATTTAGTGTAAATAAGTAAAGGATGATATGATTTTTTTTTCTTTAATCATATTTTTTTCATTTAACCCTTTTATATTCGTAATTAGGAAATCAAGGTAGGTGCAACGTTTTTCATTTCATCAGTCTAATTCATTTTTTAAAACTTTGGTTATAGATGTGCATTAATTTTTGAAAATGTGAAAATCTCATTATTATGGCCTCTTAAAACTACAAATACTAGTCATATTTGTTATTTATAGAAACTAATGCGTCCACTAATATGACTGATATTTTGCGTTTTTTTTAAAACCTAGAGTGAATTTTTTAATTTTTTAAATTAGTGTACTCACAATAAATTTTTTAAAATATGAATTTGAAAGTTTCCTTTAAAATCAATTTGTACTTATTTTCCTCAAGAAATAACCTTTTATTACAAAATAAAAAGAAAGATCCATATCATATCATGTATGATATAAAGTGGAATGTCATTGCTTACCAAAAAAAAAAAAAAAAAGTGGAATGTCATGAACTTATTAATTGATGAACTATTTATTCTTATTCTAAAAATTATTTATCAATTTATCCCATTTTTAAAGTTATTATTAATTTATCCAACTTTGACTAAAGTTAATCACTTTCAATCATGTGGGTCTCACATACATAAAATATGTCAATCATAAAATGATGAAACTTGTCTTACATAATCAATGCTTAGAAAAGGCAAGAGTCACATATTGTTTCAAGACAAATACATTTTCTTGTAATTAATAATAGGGTTCGCTTTTAGAAAACTTATCTATGAGTCCAAAACGACGTTGTTTTGAGGCGAAAATCAAGATATTTTTGTAATTATAATTTATTCAGGATTATAATAGTCTTTTTCATTATAATTTTTTAATTTTTAACCTAAAACGACGTCGTTTTGGGAGCAAATGTAGATAACTTATCTACATTCACTTTAGAAACATTAAAGCCTTAATAATAAGTGAGAAATTTTGTTGCACTTTGAATTTAAAAGTATAAATTTTAAAATTATAGTAGTTAATTGTGATATTTTTGAATTTGAGGAATAACTTGGCCCACTAAAGACCAGCCCACGTATGAAAAGGTTGAATTGAATTGGGCCAACTCATGCCAAAATATTTTTTTACTTCGATATTGGCCCAATCCACAGTCCACCTGTTTCCTCATATTTTTGCAGTCATTCTCATTCCAGTTTAGTCTTTGGCTTAACATAAGTACACTAAGCTAGATCCCTCATGTCTAATATTGTTGGAGTATGCAAAGCTTGGCAAAGTTTAAATGGAAGGGAAAATTTTTGGCAATGTATTCTTAGTTGCATATTTATGTAACACAGATTCAAAGATCTTAACTACTAGTTGCACTGGTAATTTCTTCCTTCCATATAGAATTCAGTCTTCAGCATTGTGTCACAGTTTCTCAGGACACATTTATTTTGTAACACAATTAAACCTCTTATGAGTAAAGTGAACAGTTACAACAACTCTTGCTAAACTTCCTTGTACATTAATGATCACAAAAAAATTAGGGAACATGAAAAACAAAACTGAAAGAGATTCACTCGGACCTAAATTCATACATACTAGGAAAATATCAGCACTATTCTATATAATCACACTGGCCATCAATTATGGTACATTATTGACCAAATGATAAAGAAAAAAAAAACCCTCCTTCCTTTTGTTATCTACATGGATATAAATCAGGCACAAGGTCTAGAGTATTGCTTCTGATTATTTGTACATGTGCACTTTGCCCTAGTATCTGTGAGTACCTGCAAGAATAGAAAAATATGTGGTTAGACAAAATAAATTTCAGAGAGGTAATTTTTTTTTTTTTAAGAATTTATAGATAAGAGGGCGAACCAGAGCAGTGATAAAATTGTTCTATCATGACTGAAAGGTCCTGGGTTCGAATCCAGGAAACTGTCTTTTTGCAATTATGCAAGGATAAGGCTGCGTACAAGTATTACCTCCACCCCAAACTCGCTAGTCGGGTTTAACGGGGAGTGGTTTTTATTTTTTAAAGAATTTATAGGAAGAGTTATTTCTCTATAGTACCTTAACTTGTTTCTGCAGGTCTTTAATGTACTCCACAGCCACATCCAACATATCTGCTGTGCTTGTTTGCTGCCAAGAGTGAAGCATAAAGTCATCAAATTGCATATGAAGCTTCACTCAACAAGATGATGTGCTAGTAAGAGAGTTAATTACCTTGTCTGATTTTGGGAAAAGATCTTGCAATTTCTTGATTCTTGCACTAATTCGTGTTCTTCTTTCCTGAAGTTTGCAAATCCAGATAACAAATGAAACAGTTAACAAGTATGTACTACATTAAATTGCAATACAACTATATGTTTGTAATGTATAGTAGAATACAAATGAGACTTTTACCCTCTCTGCAATGCTTCTTGGGTGAGTGGCAAAGCCTCTTTTGGCTCGAATTTTACATGGAACAGATCCTTGAATGTGAAAAAAATTATCCATGCTAGCCATCTTAGTAGAAGAGCTAGGAAGACTCAAATGGTGGGTCAAACCATGTTTATGATATCCAAAGTCTGCATCCTGGTAACATAAATTTTCATTGATCAACAACTAAAAACAAAAAGGCCAAATTGGGGGGGAAAAAAATTTCACAAATTTCCTGCTATACCTGAGTTTCCAAAGCATTTGAAGTGGAAAATATGATTTCACTATTGTTACTTTCTGTTTTTGGGGCACTGAATGAAGAACCATCCCAGAAGTCACTGGTGAAGCTAGGCATGTAACATTTACTGCTGCCATTATTATTTCCCTGGTTTCTACTTTCAACACAATTTGCTTCCATCCCTTCATTCCCATTTTCAACAATTTGTGGCATTCTTATAGAGCAAGAGGATGGCCTAGATGACATGTTCAAAGTACCATGCAACCCACTAGTTGATGTAGTAGCTTGTCCATTTGAGACATCACAGGCTCTAAAACTTCCTACCTCTCTCAATGCTGCTAAACCTGCAATTAACACAAGTGTTTAGAACACTAAAAAGGAAAAAATAAAAATTATCATTATAAAAAGTTGATACCTTGAAAAAAAAATACATATAATTCATGTATTCCCCTTGTAACCCAAATTTTAGTACTTTTACAGCAAACTGTTCTGCCTTCTTTTTCTCAGATTCTTTTCTGATCTTCCATTCCCCAAAGTGTCCTAGATAATTATTTTTCTTTTGATTCGAAGGTACATAATTTCTTAATAAGAAATGTTTAAATAAAAGTCAACTCTCTCTGCAGAAAAATGTGAACAAACGATCTTATATTCCGGACAAGTAACACCAAATTGCTTTACTATATTAGCAGTACTGCAGAAAAGGGGGATCTGATTTGATTTGAATTAAAGCTATTCACAATCACTAGCAAGCTCTGGTCAATTCTGAAGATAAATGTAACATTTCCATAAATATAAGGACAGATATGATCCACTGACATCTGCTGTTCATATAACTAAAGTAGTATTTTAGAAAAAAAAATTCAAATTTTAAGCCAAATTTCTTTTACATATGAGAGAACACATCATCCAAAAAGAAATAAAAAGCATACCATTATCAACTGAATAATTGGAGAAAAACCCAGCAGGGGAACTCTTTTGCCTAATGAGATTGGAGCAATTATTGGAACCCATTTTAGTTTCTGTGGAATTATCTGAAGCCATGGAACTCACTGCACTGAATGAACCATCAAAGTTATTCCCAGAAGCACCTAAAGAACCATTTGACAAGCCTTGAATTTGGTGAGGTTGGTAAATTAGCTGAGCCTGAGAACCATAAGAGTAACCATTGTGTTGTGGTCCTTGTGAAACTGCGTCCCTTATTTCTTGCTTCACTGGCTTGTCTCCAAACTCATACAAAGGTTCCGAATTGTTCAACCCAATGTTGGATGGAAACAACTTGGCCAACATGGTTTCCATTTCTGAACTTGTAGAAGGATGATAATGGTGAGGATCCTCACTTTTGAAAGCTTCCTCATTAACACATCCAATGCTGGTATCCACAAGGCTATTCAGCAATGAACTTGGAGCAGAACGGTACCGCAATAGTGCAGAATTTTGCTGGTGACAATGTTGTTGTGGATGACCAATATTTGAATCCATTTCTGGGTTTCTTCTTATTTCCCCTTCAGAGTACTTGAGAGAATGACTATACACAACACTCATATTATCTTCACAATTACCTGAAAAAAATCACCCAAAAGAGAAAACAAGAAAAGAAGTTATCTTTTTATGTTTCCTTTATTTTACTAGCCAAGTTTCTTTCAAAGAAAAATTATACATAGTATTATTACCTTGGTGACTATGATAACCTCAAAATTTTATGTCCAAACTTCAAAAGGGAAATGCAAAATTCTATCTTCAACAAAGTTCAAAGCACCAAAACCTGCAAAGGGTCAAAAGAAAAAAGTGTGATTCCAACATAATCAGAAACATTATTTCATCTCCAAATCTTTCTTGAATTCTGTTCCTGCTATAACCAGAGTAGCTTTTGGAATCATATATACAAAAAATAAAAAGAAAAAAAGTTAAGCCAATTGAAAGAAAAAAAAAGGGCATACATGAAACTCAAAATTTGGCACATTCAAGTCCAAGGATAAAGGTCCTTCAGCTTCCAGAGTATGGATCAGAGCTCAAAATCCAGACACAGAATTAAGAGGAAGAGAAGAGTTGTGGGAAAGAAAGCTAAGATTGTTGTCTTGCTCTCACATATTTATGTAGTTTGTTGTTCAGTGATCACCCTTATATTTCCCCATAATAACGATATTACCTTGGATGACATAAAGTCGTCCATGTTAACTTGTTTTTTCTTTTTTATTTTTTTCCGTTGACCAAATAAACCCTTTGAAATGGTTCAGAATATGTGTTTAGGGATCTAACTTCTGTTGGGCACACTTACTAAATAGAGAAAGTGCATTAATTTCACCTTTTTTTTTTTAAGAGTTGTACAATAAATAAATAAGCTTTGGAGTTCATATACAGCAGAAAGAAACAACGATTACAATTGGGCAAGTGATGTTTGGTTTATGGATCAAGGGTTCTTTGCTATTGAGATGTGAGGAATACCAAGCATAAATGTACGGTTCGTGTCCTTTGGTTGCATGAAGGGGCAACCTCCTTTAGCCTTTTTAGGTTCTTCCATAAATGGTTCTATTGTTTACTTTTAAAGGGTTCAATTTTTTTCAATACATAACTTATTTATATTGAGTTCAAAATGATGTTATTTTAAGGCAAAAATTAAGATATTTTTGTAATTATAATTTATTTTATGGTTATAATAATTTTTTTTATTATAATTTTTTAATTTTTCAATCCAAAATAACATCATGTTAAAAGTGAATGTAGATATTTACTGTAGAAATAATAACCATGATTTTTGTTAGAAGTAATTAAGGTTTATCATAGAAAGGCACTTTTTGATTAAAAATATATATATTCGTTTAATATATGAGTTTTTAAGGTGGAAATTCTGAAGTTTTCTTATTTTTCTTATTATATTTTATTTTTCTTTTGTTGGTTTGCTGAAATGACCTAATCTTTCACAAGAGAACGCGCCTTGAACGCGGTGACATGAACAGAATACTTCCCAGAATGGTAAGAAACAAATCAGAAGCTGCAGTTACTTTTATCCATCTATAGGTATTCATTCTCAAGAAAAAAAGTGACCCTATAAAATGTACTTTTTTTTAACTAATATATTATTAATTTCATTTTAAAGAAATAAGTTATCTCATGTCATATAGACAAATTTATGGGCTCCATCATCTAAAAAAATAAAAAGAAAAGAAAAAAGTAGTACATTTATCCAAGAATGAGTAAGAATAAAAACTTATCTCATGTTTTTCCATATATTATTGCTACAATTGCTTGTATTCTGAATGCAGGTGACATTATTCAACTTTATACAGATGTGAACAAAGAAAACAAGACCTGTTCATTCCATCCTGGCACCTTGTAGCATAGAAAACAAAAAAGGATAAAAAATTGATTCTTAGAAATCTGCTTCATCAGAAACTTCTTTTTCTTTCTTTCCTTTACAGTTAAACTATTGTATTCACACTGTATTAAGTGTGGCTAGCATTTATTTATCTAAGTAGGGTCTTTTCCCGATTAAAATAAAGCAAGTCCATGATGCCTGCTAAAGCTTCATATAACAGTTAGGACCATCATTTTCACAACATTAGTTCAATGAAGAGTGGACAAGAAAACAAATAACCGATGAGTCTCGGTCAAGTTTAGGCCAATTAAATGGAGGAGAGGAATTTTTAATTTAAGTAGATACTTTTCTTATTTGAGAATAGTTTAAAGTGGGGGTAGGGGTGTTAACGAACCGAGCCGAGCCGAGCCAAGCTTTGGTCTTAACGGGCCGAGTCTGTGTTCAAATGTGTCAGACTGGCCTTAGCATGTTACCTGTTACGAATATAATATCAGCCTGTGGCCTGGCTCATGTACAAAAAATAAAAGCCTTGTTTAGCCTGTTAGCCTGTTTAAAAAAATAAGACAACAAAAATTTATCCAAACAAAATATACAATCAACAGCACTAGTAATTCCATAAATATTCATAAATTTAATGTATATCCAAATAGCATAATATAAAACAAAATCATTTAAAAAGTCTGTTTAATTAATAAAATGGGATGAAATGAATTGAGAAGAGAGAGAGGGCTATCACAAGTAGTATAAAAAATAAAAAATAAAAAATATATTAGGCAAGCCTGAGAGGCTCTAAGGTTGAGCTTTTGAATTGGAGTATGAGCTTTTTTATTAAACGAGCTTTTATACAAGTTCAAGCCTGGGTCCAACAATCAATTTTAGACATGTAAGCTCAGGCCTTCACGAGCCGAGCCAAAGGCCCCTGGCTCGTTTAGCACCCCCCTAAGTGGGGGGAATAAAATTTGAAATTTTGTTATAACTTTTCAATTATTACTTATTCATTTTTATAAATATTTTAAAATGGATTAGGATCATTTTACGTCAGTATAAGTTACACTCTCAATCTTGATTATTATTTATATTTAACGACTCTGATTTATTAGATATATGAGTAAGCAAATCAATGTCCAAAATTTGGTATAAGACTTCTTATTTTTATACCGATGTAAGAATAATTTGCCCCTTTTAAAATTAACCATTTTTATCCCTTTTAACGGATTTCAAAATATAACTAATGATGAGGTTAAAATAAAAAAAAAAATCATTAATTTAAAATTTAAATGCACACCTTAGCTTTCTTTTGTTATGTACCAAAAACTTTTTTTTATTTACAAATGTATCATAATCATGATAGTTAAAGACTAGTTTTAAAATTGTGCTTTTACGTTTTTACAATTTTTTCATCAAAATTTCAAGCGCTTCTATTTTTTTATAAATTTTTTTCATTACAATTTTATGTTTTACGATATTTTATCCCCTTTTTATTTTTAGATAAAAACTCAATTTTAACTACCTTTATCATAACTATCAATCTTGAATTCGGCATGATTTGTATCATATAATTCATTTATGATTAAATTATTGCAATCAGTGGCGGAGTCACACCAAAATTTTAGGTGGTGCCAAAATTTTTTGACATATTAAATTATTAAAATATTTATTATAATTACACAAACTAATCAAGAAAAAAATTTACTATAAATTCTAACATAGTTATCTAAATTATGTATTAAATAATATCACGTAACATTGAAAATTCAAATGAACAATTATCAATGATTATATATCAAAGCAAACATATAAAAATGCACTAACCTTTTCGATAAGCATTTCAAACATAAGAATTTCACTTTCCTCTCACAACATAATAAGTAGAGGATAGGTTATTTTATCTACCATTTTTTTCGTCTACCTTTGCCTATCACTCTCCAATATCGTTAGATAATAATCTTAATAAGAGAAAGAAATAATAAATGTAATTGAGATTCTGATCCAATGGTATTGAAGAGTGGTAAGCAAAGGTAGGCAGAAAAAATGGTAGGTAGAATAACCTATCCCAATAAGTAATGGACCAAGCATTGTCCTAAGGATATGAAAACACACAAATATAATAAATATATGCTTAATAACATTTAATAAATAATTTAAAATATACTAGAAAAATGCATACCTAAAATTGTAAACAACGCTCTTTTAAACTGACAAAATCTTCAAGGATAGAATCTCGTAATTCTTTAATAAGTTTTTTTTTTGTGTAAATTAATTCTTTAATAAGTTACTTTGTACTTGAAACTAATTGTATATCATTCAAAATATCTTGAGATTTTTGTTGTAATGCTTGAAAAAGAATTTCAGTGATGCTCATTATCTTTTTCATCAAAAATAAATTAAAGATAACTTTAAAGGAAGTGATCATCTTATAAGCTGCAGTAGCATCTCCTCTTTGAGAGTAATTTGAGCCTTCACTACGAATTATTTTAAGTAAGTAGCATCTTCTCTTTGAGAATAATTTGAGCCTTTATTATGATTGCAATTGTAAGTCACAAATTAAGGCTTTGAAAGTAATTTTAATTGATGGGTTAGGTAAAAGGGTTTGGGTATTGGATTTTATTTTTCTGATTGAAAAACATAAATATAATTATATTTATTTAGGTGGTGCCAAATTACAAATTTAACCTTAGTTAATTATAATTAATTATATATTTATATATAAAAAGTAAATTTTTTTAAAACCAAGCCGGTGCCTTGGCACCTGCTGGCATAGGAGTGGCTACGCCACTGACTGCAATGCTTTTCAAAAACTTTATGCTAAGGATATTATAATCTCATCATTTACTTTAAGTTTTTTTGTTTTATTGCTCCAAGAATATCTTCCAACCGACAACTGAAAACTAATTTCCTCGAGACCGAGAGGTCACTAATGTGGGTATAGTCTCTACCAATAAATTTTTTTCCATACACACAACCACGAATCAAACTTCTATCAAGATGCTTAGGACCCAGGTACACTGAATACTCATTCAAGTTTATATTTTAGAAAAGTATCTTTTTCACTCGTGTGAATGATATGCTGCAATCTTTATTTTTAAATCTTTCCAAATGAAAAGTCAATGAATTGCTAAGCCTTCAGCTGCAATAGCCCCTTGATTAATCAAAACCACAAAAGATGAGTGGTCATTGTATTACACCTTTGATCCTCTCATGGAAAAGTCCAAAATTCTACAACTATTCATGGAGAATGATTAATTAGGTAATAGTTAATACTAATTTAAACAATGGTCTTTGCTTGACTGACCCAATTAATGTTTATGTCACTACATGTTTTCCTCGTGTTGCTTGGCACTGTCAAACATTTGATCTTTAAGGGAAATTCAATGTCAACCCTTTGATAAGAAGACAAATAACTTGGTTGAATCGGTAAGGTATCGACCACTCATGTAAGATGTGCAAAGATAAAATTCATTGCAGCCGCCGCAAGCAATGCAGTGTGCCATTGGATAAGAACAGAGTTCAAGAAGCAAGTTGGGTTCTCAAAAGCAGGACGAGTCGACATGTAAAATAAATGATTGGATATGAATGTATTTGTTCGTATTTGAAGTGTGATATATATATATATATATATATATATAGAATAAGTTATTAAATGTATAATTTCCCATAAATTTTATGTATGTTTTACTTATTCTATTCACATAATTAGATTACAATTTCAACCAATTTTTTCTCTCTCCCCGCCTTCATT